CTATCTATCTCTCTATCTCTATCCCTATCCCTATCCCTATCCCTATCCCTATCCCTATCCCTATCCCTATCCCTATCCCTATCCCTATCCCTCCCCCTCCCTACCTCCCTCCCTCCCTATCCCTATCCCTATCCCTCTGTCTCCATCTCACCCTCCTTTCACACTCCTTCTTTCCCTCTCATCTCTCTCTTCCTTCTTTTTCACATACTCTATTATTCTCCCACCCTTCCTATTTCTCTCTCTTCCTCCGTATTTATCACTCTCTCCCTCGATATCTCTCTCTTCTATTTCTTACCTCTATAGTAGGAGCGCTGTGTCGATTCGCTGTAGAGTTCGATGCTGTGAGATGACCGTGAGAACCCTCTTCGGAAAGGTATCTGAATCTATATTTCTGAATAGGTTCGAGCGCGAAGCTTATTTCGGGTTTGGGAGCAAGGCCTGGGGGGAATGTGTTTACGTCGGTTATAATAGTAACATGAGAAGGAAGTAGTTGCTATTGTGTTACGGCATTAGATATCTTTAAAAAAAAGGGGTTATTACTAGAGAGAAAAGCCGTCAGTATCGTTCTGGTATGAAAAGAACTTAGACACCAAGTTATGCCCATCTTGTACATACCTGAAGCCGAGGTCATCCCCAGAAAAGAGGGCACGGCAGACACTTCCTGAGCGTGGGGCGGCGTGCCAACATACTCTCGGTAGTTCTGCAGAGAAGCCCCGAAGAGCGAGCTGTCAGAGTCTTCGAAGTTGCTCATGGAGGCTCCTTCCCCATCGTCGCTGTACTGCTGCACGTCCAGGAATTCGAAGTAGTTGCGCTTGATTTGGTCTGGAGTTGGGAAGTCGAGGTCGAAGATGCTCAGATCCAAACCTGTCATCGCCATCGTCACCTCGGGGAAGCTGGCGGGGATCTCGCGGGGCTGCAAGGAGAACGCTGCAATGTGAAAAGACCCTTCTGTGCACGGGAAGACAGCTTAAAAAAGGTTTAGACGCAAGCGGAAATGTACACATTGTGAAGTTCACTCAGTGTGAGGCCCCTCCCCTTCTCTGCATGACAAAACAGCTTCGAAGGAAAATTAAGCGCAGGATTTTTTCAAGTGGGAACCCCAGGATTGAACTCGGTGAGCCACCACTGCAACATTTTATTGACATGCGGCAATTTACTCGTGACAGGAAATATCTGTCATCAATAGTGCTTATTTTCTATACTTCTTATTTTATATACTTCTTACCAGACAAAAAAATAATAATAATTAAAAAAAAAAAAAAATAAAATAAATAAATATATATATATATATATATATATTAATATATATATATATATATATATATATATATACATATTACATTTAAAAAAAAAAATGAAGGGTCTTTCAGCAGGATGCAATTCTTGACAGGAAAGTGTGACTTACTCAAAAAAAACATTTGGAACAGGATGCCGCAGATCTGACCCTGTTTTCACGTAGTTTTCAGAAAACATCCACTTGAATCACGCAAAAAAAAAAGAAAAAAAATGGCACGGATATCCTACTACCATATTTCCGAGCAGAGGAAAAGAAAAATACAAACGAAATTCTTGAATCCATGAAAACATACATCCCTATATTTCTTACATTGGCTACGTTGAATTTTAACGATCTGCCGGTGACATTCAACTGAAAGCAACACATGATAAGTATACTAAAACATCCATCCAGTATAAGTATGGTTATAAAGCGTTGGTGATGCTATACCTTCTACTTTTCTCCACATTTCATGGTGAAAATAATGGGCTATTCTCCCTGCAGTGAACCAAGTCGTAAATTTTGACCTATGGAGACAAGAGTGGTCCAATTTTGATAAAAAAGCCAGAGCGTAGGATGTGGTCCTTGTTCTTTTGAGATTTCGATAACGATAATTACGTCGTTTGTTGTACGTTGTACGCGAGGAGAGAGAGAGAGAGGAGGAGAGAAATAGAGAGGAGGAGAGAGAAATGGTCAATATAATTGCACGTTCCTGTGTGTGTGTTGGTCCTCGCCTTTGAAAAAAAAAATCGAAAAAAGTAAAAGGTAAAATATAGATTTTTAAAATCTAAAAATGGGTCAGAGTAAAAAAATACATAAATTAAATTTTGACTTCGCTTACAGGCCGTGAGTTGTTGTTTTTTTTCAATCTTGTACTCATATCATAGCTTTCCAAAAATTTTCGTATAATGAACAAGTAGATAAATAAATAGCCGTATTTTTTTTTTTTTCGTGTCATAAGAAATGTGATGCGTCCTCGTTGACTTTCTGAATGCAATGAGGCTAGTTCTAAGACCGGAAACTCTTTTTTTCTTCTTTCTCTCTTTTTTTTGAACTTTGTAGGGGATTCTACCACTGGGACATTTTTTTCACAGTTCCATATAATACCGTGTGGGGATTTTTTTTCCTGAAAGTTTTTGTGTCCTCTAGGGGGGAGGGGGGGGGAGTAAGAACAATTCTCTGCGCAAAGGATTTTTTTAAATGAAAACTACATATCTATTATCA